ACATGTTCAAACAGACATCCTCAGAAGCACCATTTAAATGAGTGAAAGCCAGGAAAAACTCAAACATCCACTAATAACGGATGCGATAAGTAAACAACATATTCACAAAAAGGACATCTGCTAAGATCATTAAAAGCATACAGATGCTGGAGACGTGTGTAACAGTGAAAAGCAGGGCCACTGTAATTCATGACCCCTGCTCCCAACTCCCTTTGGCTAAGCACACACCTCCAGGCCTTTTTGCTGATTGCGGATGCAACATCAGCTCTCTGCTGTAGTTGGATCTGGGATGTCCCCAAAGGCCTGTGTATTGAAAGCTGGTCCCCAGTGTGGTCCTACTGGGAAGTGGTGGAACCTCTCAGATGTGGGGCCTAGAGGGAGGCTGTAGGTCACAGGGACTGGACCCTCCAGTGGGATTGTGGGATTCCAGGCTCTTCTGCCTTTCTCTGTCTTGAAATCTTGCCATAATGTGAATGATTCCTACCGTCATGGCCACCAGGATGTATTACACCATCACAGGTCCAAAGCAACAGAGCCCAAACTGGGGGCTATAATAAATCTCTCCGTGTGTGTGTGTGTGTGTGTGTGTGGGTGTGTGTGTGTGGGTGTGGGTGTGTGTGTGTGGGTGTGGGTGTGTGTGTGTGTGTGGTTTTTTGAGACCAAGTGTCACTTTGTAGTTTAGGCTGGGTTTGAACTCACTATGGAGCCCAGGCAGGCCTCAAGCTCATAACAATCCTGTGTCAGTCTTTCAAGTCTGGGATTACTAGCGTGCACCGCCACACCCAGCTAACCTTTCCTCTTTTGAAATTAATTATCTCAGGTATTTGTTATAGTAACACGAGGCTGAGTAACATACTCTCCTACCAGCAGTAAAAAGGAATGAAGCACTGACACATACAACAGCATGGATAAACCTTGAAAACATTATGCTGAGTGAAAGAAGGCAGACACAAATGACCATATGTTATAGGATTCCATTTATATGACACGGTTGGAATGGGCAACTCATAAAGACCTACAGTAGATTAGTGGTTGCCAAGCCTATGGAGTGGAGAGGATGCAGGGGCAGCAGTGATTGCTAACCGGTATGAAGTTCTTCACAGGATGCTGAAAATGTAGAATTAGACACAGCTGATGATTTTATAACTTTACAAATATACTCTACACCACCGAACTGTACACTTCAAATGGGTGAGCTGTACGGTATGTGTTATATCTCAGAAAGGCTATTAGAAAACTAAAAGCTCTCCCATATACTAAGTATACTTTTGCACCCCTTGCTACTCTTTTTTTTTTTTGAGACAGGGTCTCCCTGTGTAGTCCAGGCTGACCTAGAACTTCCTATTAGCCCAGACTGGCCCTGAACTTGCAGCAAACCTCCTGCCTTAGCCTCCCAACCGCTGGGATTACAAGAGTATACCACAACACTCAACTCATCAGTACTCTTATTCTTGCTGTAGCACATGGCTTATTTGTTTATTCTACATGTTGGCATCACTATCTACATGCAATAAGCCAGCTCTATATTCATCTTCACCCTCATCTGTTACTTCATTTTCCTAGAAAGCATCAGGTACTGTTGTAGGCAGCTGCGTTAGACAGAAATATTATAGTCAGTCAAGACAGGGCCAGGCAGTAAGGAAGAAAAGATATCTTGCAAAAGGGAGAGGCGGTACTTGCTGAAGGCCAGACCTCAAGACAAAAGATTAAATAAACACACCCACATACCTCCCTAGGGATGGACCTCAGGGATTGCTATTCTAAATAGGTAGCAATCACTTTGAAGAGTCACTGACCCAACCCCCTACAGGAAAAGCCCCTGTTCTGTGTTCATGCCCGCTTGCTACGTGCTCTTCCCCATTTGATCCCGATTTAATCAATTTTATCTGAACAATTCTTACTGCCTCACCATAGTTTTGTCCCACCTCATGCCCCCCTTGTAATTTCCCATTTTTCCCCACCTTGGACCCGCCTCACCTCATGGTTTCGCTCTATAAAAATCCCTGGAAAAGACAGGTTCCAGGGCAGCCCACTCAGGCCCCCCTCTGCCCCTCTCTGACAGAAGCTTTCTTTCCCTCAGTAAATATATTCTGCTGTTAATCTCTGTTGTTCCTAAAATTCACTCTTTGATTTTAGAGAACATGAACTCGTCCCAGATATCATTCAGGTTGGGAGTTTTTCTCCCCTCTATCAGTACTACATGTAAACAGCTAAAATAAAAATTATTTTCTTTTGAAATCTATCATAAGGAACTATAAAAACTTAGAGAAAAGCTCAGATTCAAAGCAGTAGTTTTTTAAAGCAATAGTTTTTCATGAATGAGAAAACCTTCAAACAATTGAAATGCTTTTTAATATTTTATTTTTGATTGATACATTAGTTATACATATTTATAAGGTACAATGTAATGTTTTGGTTCTTGTATATACTGGATAGTGGGTAAGTAGCATAATCATCACCATAGTAGTATCATTTCCCTATAGGAAGGACATTAAAAATCCTCTCTTGTGACTATTATGAGATATACGATGCATTATTATTAATTATATTCATCCTGCTATGCCATAGAATGCCACAACTTATATAATGTATCCATTGAACCACCCTCCTAACCTCTCCTTCCTCTCCCCAACTTCTGGTAACCAGTGTTCTATGCTCAACTTTCATGAGGTCAACTATTTTAGATTTTTCTGTGAGACCACGCAGCGTTCCTCTTTTTGTCCCTGGCTTATTTCACTTCACACAGCGTCTCCAGGTCCATGCGTGTTGTAGCAATGACAGTATCACATCCTTTTTATGGCTGACAATATTCCTTTGTATACAGATACACTCATCCATTCAACTACGGATACACATTCAGGTTGATTTCCTATCCTGGTGATTGTGAAGAGAGCTGCAAAGAACACGTGAGGGAGTACAGGCGTCTCATCAATAAGCTGACTTTACTTTCCTGGGCTGTATACCCAGGAGTGGGACTGCTGAATCCCATGGTAGTTCTATTTTTAGTTTTCTGAGGAGCGTCCACATTGTTTTCGATAATGGCTGCAGCAACAGAATGAGAGCTCCTCTCTCTCCAGAGCCTCAGCAGCGTTTGTTATTTATCTTTTTGATAAGAACCATTCTAACTGGAGTGAGGTGATATCTCATTGTAGTTTAAATGTTTAACAACAGAAGAATCAATAAATTTCAACAGGCCATTCAAGAGAGAGCATAAGGCAGTGAAAATGTTTTCAAAGAATATGACATATAAAGAAAGCATATGCATGATCTACATGTGAGGAAGCGGAGCACAAATGTGTGTATATACATACATACAGGAACGTGGATGGGTGCGCAGACATTCATTGCTTTCTCTGCATTACTGTGACAACCACACTGCCTAGCTTTGGAGACAGGGACTCACCTGGAGATCTGGTGGCCAATCACAGGCCCTCGCTCTTAAGTCTGCAAGTGAGATGATGAGATTTAGCTCTACTGCTAACTCCAGGCTCGGTTTGCAAGTCTGCTGCAGCCTGCTGCTATGTGAGGAATGCTGGTAGGGTCTAGGCCCACCCGGACAGCTCTGACTCCTACAGATAGTCACACGCATAAATTCCAGCATTCTTAATGTTCCCTGGAATGCAGCAGCGAGAGCCTCCTAGCACTCCCTGGCTGTAAACAGCAAGGCTAATCCCACGGGAATGCTGGCTGTGTCCACCTGTGCCAGCAGCGCCGTGTGGTCTTTTTGTTTTAGTTTTTCAATTTTTATTAGGACGTTTGTCGCGGGTAATGGTTACACTTGTAGGACATAACACACACACAGTTCTTTTTGCCCCTCCTTCTCCCCTCTCTGCCTGCTCCTTCCATCGCATGCTCCCCTTCCCATTTTAAAAAATATCTCCCTACTCCCTATTATCTTTCATTTTGCTCTTTGTTTATATTCTGGATCTCTCATATAAGAGAAATCATATATTTAATCTTGTGTGTTTGATTTCTTTCACTTAACATTATGATTTCAGAGTGCATCTATCTACCTATGAATGACTCTAATTTATCCTCTTTATGGCAGAGCAGTAAACTACTGTGTATAAATACCACATATTCTTTGTCCATTTATCTGTGTTGATGGACGTATAGCCTGTTTCAAGACTTAGCTGTTATACAGTGTGCTGCTATAAAATGGATACGTGTGGATTACATCTTTTGCTTAATCTGCACCAGTCAGATTAAATAATCAAAGGGCTGATTCTGTTACTCCGTCAACTAGGATTTATGACAGTCCCAGCTTTCCTGCCACTTGTCTAAAGTGTGGTTCACAAGAATAGCCATTGGGGGCTGGGGATATAACTCAGTGGCGTAAGCACCTGCCTGGCAAGCGCAAGGTCATCAGTTCGATCCCCAGTACCGCAAAAAAACCCACAAAAAACAAAAAACAAGAATAGCAATTGGTTTGGGTCATCAGCCACTATGGTTTGAATACACTGCTCCCTCCCAAACTCACTTTGAAACTGAGAACCATCGCAGTGGTCCTGGGAGTAGTGATTGGTCATGAAGGCTTTGCCCTCCATAGTGGATTAATCCACTAGAGGCACGACAGAATATTATGAGAATGGCTCCCTTATAAAGGCTAGCTCACTCTGGCTAGCTTGCTCTGTTTCACTATGCAGTGTGCTCTGTGATGAAGCAGGATTCACAAACACTCCCTCACCAGGTGACAGTGCATGCTCTTGGATGTCCCAGCTGCAGAACCGTGTGATGAACAAACCTCTATTCCTTATAAATTACTTGGTCTCAAGTATTTTCTTACAGCAACAACAGTGAAACAGTCTAAGATACCACTGGCTGTTGCATCTTCTGCAGGCTGGGTGCACACAAAATGCGCTTTTTTCTCAGAGCATACTAAATATTGTAACTTTACATGGAATTGTCACTCTGCTATCACGAGTCTCAGATGGTCACACAATATGTGGGATCAAACACTCTCAGTGTAGTGTGTGACACTTAGCCCCTCACCATTTCAGGGCGATGCTCTGGTTTCTGGCTTCCTTCTGTCCCAGCACAGAGACGCACTGCTGCAGACATGGCAAGAAGCACCCTGTACTGTAAAGGAGTCGCTCAAGCTGGGCCTCTATATCGCCCGAGCCCTTTCCTGCAAACACCCAACTCTCTGGGGACACAGGACCACCTTGTGCCACCAGCAGTATGGTAAGACCATGAAGGCAGATGCCCAGGTCCCTTGGGCCCCGGCTCTGCTTCTCTTCTGCCCTAGTTATTCGATAAGTTAGCTCCCCAACATCTGCACACCTGAGTTTTCTCATCTTCACAAGGGAGGTGACATCAACCTCAAAGCAAGTGTTCACCAGAAATTGCTGCCTCTTCATCTACGTGCCCTCCTTCTCAGTGAAAAACAAAAACATCTATTTGTTGTTGTGAAACATTGTAAGTTCTAAGGCACAGCAACCATCAAAATCCCAGGACATTATTTTTCACATGCACACAACTGCACACACATATATAACTTTCCCTTGTGTACTATATCAGAAAGGATGTTACAGTGTGTTCATTTTCTACCATTGTGGCAAAATACCCAAGAAAATCAGCTTAGAAGAAGGTTTACTTTGGCTATGGGTTCCGTCCACGGTCACTTGAACCCACTCCCTTTGGGCCTGGGGCGGGCTAGCACAATATAGGAGGGAGAATGAGGGGCTGGGGATTTAGCTCAGTGGCAAAAGCGCCTGCCTGGCATGCGCAAGGTCGTGAGTTCGGTTCCCGGTACCAGAGAAAAAAAAAAAAAAAAAGAAAGCAGGAGGGAGAATGTGACCCAGCACCTCTCACCAAGCCCCACCTCCCCAGGCTCCACCACCTCCGAACAGCACCGTACTGAGGGCCACCCCTTTAACACGTGGGGCTGGAGGGGACACTCCAAACCCAAACGCCGAGAGCCAGCAGGTTCCTGGGATCCATGAGCAGATGAACAATCTCTGATGCATTCTCCTTCAAGTCTTCTGACTGGTAGGTCTTTCTTTTTTACAGTTTTATTGAGGTATATTTCACAGACCATAAAATTTGTCCATTGAAAGGGTAAAGTTCAGTGGTTTTTATTATGGACACACAGACCTTGACCATCGAGACAGGAAGGCAAAAAATAAACTAACTCCCTTCTCTTGCAGCCAGCACTCTCTGTTCTCTATCACATCCTCATCTTTCCTTCCACTATTCTGTGTTCCGGGGTGTCTCATTTAACCCATGGCTGCTTCAGAGGCCCTGGGCAGCACCCCCTAGTGGCTGGAATCTGACAGGAGGGAGGCAGGGAGGAACGAAAGGAGGGAAAGAAGGATCAGCCAGGGTGGCAAGTCTAGCTCACTACAGCATGACCCCATATTCCTTCCTGCGGAGTAAGCAATGGGATGAGACTAATATCTTACTGCAAACTAAGGAGACAAGGACAAAAATGAAGGCCACGCCAGGCACACACCTACAGTACCAGCACTGTGGAAGGCTGAAGCAGGAGGATCACTTGAGCCCAGCCTGGGCAACTTAGTGTCTTAATAAGACACTGTATCAAAAAATAAAAAGGCTGGGGAGCAGCTAAGTGTGAAGGCCCTGGGTCCAATCACTAGTACCACCACATACGCCAAGGGAAGTCAAATATAAAAGCATTTTTTGTGGACTTTTAAAATATAGACAGCCAGTCGGAGCTTAAAACAAAAGATGAGTTTTTACGTATTTGTTTAAATCTTTGCTAAATAATGTTCACCCTATTTCTGCAAGTCGTCAGAATCCCACAAATAGCCACCCGGACCTATACAACAAGAAAAGGTTATTTGGGAACAAGGGATACTTGTGATGGAACACATAATGATTTAAAACCTGATCTGGCTGCACTCCTCCTCATCTTGATTTCTAGTTTTGATTGGTTCCTACCACCTTAAGAAATGTTTTCAAGATATACTTTATATTTCTAGTTTATCGTTCATTGGTCATGTTTTCCAATCTTGTTTTCCTTCTGTGTCTTCTCTGGATCTTAATAATGAAAAGGGTAAACATATTTTGATATAATGATTAAAAAAACCTGTTACCTGAAAAAATCACCCCAGTATTTAAGCTACTTGAGTAAATTACAGAAAGTAAGTATTTGGGATAATATATACCTTATAAAAGTATATTTAAAATTATTAAAGACCCAAGAAATAAAAACCCTGGCAAAAAGAATAATTACCAAGCATAGAAAAACATGCTAAGAATCAATGCAAATATATTACAGAAAATATAAATAAATGAAATGTGGTTTTTTGTTTGTTTGTTTGTTTTTTCCGGTACCGGGAATCGAATTCATGACCTTGCGCTTGCCAGGCAGGCGCTGTGCTGCTGAGCTAAATCCCCAGCCCCATGAAATGTGTTTAAAATTTAAATTGTATACAAAAAAAAATAAACACAAAACCCACAGACATACAGATACAGAAAGGTTCAGAGGAAAAAACACATCTACTGAAGGAACTGACAGAATCTGGGATCTGGTAATTCCATAAACCCTCTTTATGAACACAACCGGAAGAAATATAAAGGATATTTTCTTAAAGACATCAAAGATGCAACAAAAGCAAAAAACGGCCACACTGAGATTCTGAGAAAATGGGGGTCTGAAAAGTTGAACCAAGGCTCTGTGGGCCACTTTCGCTTAGGGGTGGCCTCCAATTCTGAGGGGTGTGGCTGAATACTGTAATAGTGTGACTCCATCTGAGATCAAGAAACAGAAACTGGAGTTTCAGGGCCACCAAAGTCAGGAAACCGAGTGGATCTTCCTTAATTTGGATTGGGACCCCAAACACATGCTCCCTGAAAAGAAAGATGAACCAGAAATTCTCAGACCCTCATGGTCTTTCAGCTATCTTAGTCTTCGAAACTGGCGTGACACGATCTATGACTGCCATTGCTGCCGAGTTCCTGGCACAAACACAAACCCGTTCTGGAAAATTACATCATCCTAGACCTCAACTGATTTCAAATTTTTCATTCTTCTGACTCAGTCAAAATAATCACGAATACAAAACCACTATACGAAAAAAGCCGACAGGCACACCACAAGCAACAGAAACATACCTATAAACACTCTAGTTACCAGTAAGTATGAAATAATCATGCCTACTATGTTTAACAAGATAAGAGGCAAGACTGACCTTTGTGGCAGACAACTGGAAACTATAAAGAAGAACCAATAAACATTTGAAAAATGGCTCAATCTCATTAATAACTAATAAAATTATAATGCACAGTAAAACTATAATGAGTTTAGTATATTCCAACCATGATGGCTAAGATTTAAAAAGAAAAAAAATCTGGGAGTTGTTAAAATACTGAGAACAGAAACTTTTTTTTTTGTCTTTTGAGACAGGGTCTTGCTATGCAGTTCAATCCAGCCTCGAGCTCACTTTGTAGCCCAGGCTGGTCTCAAACTCGCAATTATCCTCCTGCCTCAGCCTCCCGAGTGCTGGGACTACAAGCGTGCACCACCACGCCTGGCTGAGAACAGGAACTTTGAAGCAGTGCTGGTAGAATGATAAATTGTTTAAGCCACTGAACAAAACTGCTTACTATTACGTAACAAAACTGAACATATGCACAATCTGTGACAGTAATTGTACAGCAAGGTTTCCAACAGAAAACTCACGCACATATACACCAAGAGCCATATACAAGAAATCTCCCAACAGCAATACTTGATCACTAGAGGGAAAAACAGGTAATCCCACTCTCACAGCAGTGGGATTTTAAAGTAATTGTCAAGTAAACTGATCAAGCAGAGGAAAGCTGAATGACAACTGAAAAAGCCTAACGGAAATATGCAGAACCAATTAATGAACCCATTATTTTCAACCCCACGGACAACATATTTAAAAAAACTGACTCCTGAGGCAATAATGCCAATTTCAGCAATGATCAAATAGAATCATCACCCTTATCACTATCTTATCCTACAAGCCACATAACTTAATACTACGTATGAAAAAGGGTCTAACTACACATACATCTTTCTTTTAAAGAAAGAACTGGGAACTTAGCTCAGTGATAGGGCATGTGCTTAGTATGTACAAGGTTTTTGGTTCAATCCCCACCACTCCCCAAAATACTACTATAATGCAACTCTTATGCAATACAATTGACAATTTAGGGGAAAAGTAGACAGCTGTAATGACACTATAGCACCAAAACTGAGTCAAGAAGAAATGTAAAAACAAAAAAATTGAAGATGAAATTGAATCAGTAATTTCAAACATAACCTTGAACACTAGCCCTGAAAAATAGTACTGGCAAGTTATATCAAACACCCAAGATGCAGATAATTTCTATTTGTGCAACCATTCCAGAGAACAGAAAAAGAAGAAATTATTCCCAACTGAAAGAATGAAGCTAGGGAAATAAAGAAACCAAGTCAAACAAGTCCCATGTGAACATCTTTTTTCTTTTTTCCTTTTTTTGGTCTTCTTTGACAGGGTCTCACTGTGCAGTTCAGGCTGGCCTTGAGCTCACTTTGTAGCCCAAGCTGATCTCGAACTCACAATTCTCCTGCTTCAGCCCCTTAAGTGCTGGGATTACAGGTGTGTGCCACCATGCCTGGGTCATCTTCTTAACATAGATATGAAAATGCCAAATGTCAAAAACCCAATTTTGTGAAGACTTAACACTGTCAAGAACAATTTATCCAGTAACATGATGTGAAAGCAGCCTCTACCCAGCCAGAAAGTCAGCCTAACACCTGTTACTGTAGTTTCTAGAAAAGAAAAACTGCCCCTGGGCTGTTCCCTGAAGCTGGGCTTCTCAAAACTTTCATGCTAGGACCTTCAGGCTAGGTAAACACTAATTTAAGTACCAAGGTATGTTAAAATTCAATTTAAGAAGATCCACATTAAGGTGAAGCTAAGGACTTACTAGAAATAAAAAAATAAAGTCCTTCATTTTGTCTATGCTTCTGCCTACGATATGAGAACCAAGACTAGTATTTAAGCGACTTCAAAAAAGTTGATGTGAAGGGGAATTTTTGAAACCAGTTAATCACTGACACAAATGACTAACAAGTTCTTGTTTCCTTAAAAGGTACAAAAATTCATTTATTTTACTATCATTTTTAGATAATACAGGTGTCCACCCACAGTAGGCAGTTAATAAATACTGGTGTGTGTTTTGTTCAATGAATGTTTCCGTGCTACCTGGTCAATTGCATAATTGCTAATTTAAGGCACAGAATTAAAACCAAAACAATTTAAGGTAAAATAACCCAACCCATGACTTCCTACACATCTGTGATTTAACAAGGTGCAGTGTGATTCACAGTACTTTCTGTAAATTATACGGAGGTTGCTTCTCTGGGCTGGCTCGTCACTATGAGCGTCCCAGCCCTTCCCACATCCAAGCCTCGCACTTCCTTCCTGGCCTGTCAAAACTCAGCCGCACCTTGGATGACGTCAGTCAAAGCACTAACGTAGACATCTTTGTGTCATGAACCCAACAAACTGGCGAAACAAGAAGGCTTCCTGACTTCCTTAACTACTCCTTATAAAAAGGTCTAAAACTTATGAGTAATATTTTTTTCAACAGGCATGTACTTTGTAAGCATGTTTATAACAAAAGCCTCAACTGAAATAGCTGCAACTTCCAAAGTGTTTTTCAACTTCAAATACAATCATATGTCAGAGGCAAAAGCAAACGATGAGAGTCACTATGAGTAGTCTGTGAAGAGCTGATGTGATCTGAGGAAGTCAAGCCTGGGAATATTTTTATTTGACTGTGGAATTTCAAACTGTGTAGTACCTCAAGTTTCCAAAATAGCTGTTAACTTCCTGTATAATACCTTAAATTACTAAGCATGGAAGTACTCCAGGTAACATCACAGCAATACCATCAGAAGGAAACTGATGGAATCTCAATGTTGTTTTCATTTGTATTTCTGTTTTCTTTTTTGTTTGTTTGTTTGTTTGTTTGTTTTGCTTTTTGAGTCAGGGTCTTGCTACACAGTTCAGGCTGGCCTTGAAGTCACTTTGTAGCCCAGCCTGGCCTCAAACTCGCCATGATCCTCCTGCCTCAGCCTGCCAAGTGCTGGGATTACAGGCGTGCCCCACCATGCCCAGCGTCATTTGTATTTCTCTAATGGTGAGTGATGTTGAACATTTCTTCATGTATTTGTACTCTGTGAAGTGTTTATTCCTTTTACTCACCCACTTTTTGATTGGGTCTTTTATGGTAGGGATTTAATTTTTTAAAAATTCTTTATATATCCTAGATACTATTCCTCTGAGGAACAACTGGCAAAAAACATTTCCTATTCTGTAAATCAAGTAATAACAAATGCTGGCAAGGCTATGGGGAGAAAGGAACCCTTTTACATTGTTGGTGGGAATGTAAACTAGTATAGCCACTACAGAACTCAGTAGAGAGATTCTTTAAAAAATTGAAAATAGAAATTTCATTTGACCCAGTTATTTCCCTTCTAGGTATCTTCCCAAAAGAGTTAAAGTCACCATAATACAGTGAAACATGCCTATCTATGTTCATGACAGCACAATTCAAAACAACTAAACCTAAGTACCCTATATGTCCATCAATAGATGAAGGGACAAAGAAAATGTGGTATTTGCACAGAAAAGTGGTATTTACAAAACGTGGTATATGCAAAAAGAAAGATAAGCTTGAATCATTTACAGGAAAATGGATGCACTCTGATATCATAATGTTAAGACACACAAGTGTGGATACCACACAGTATCTCTTACATGTGAAATCCAGATTATAAATAAAGAGTAAAAGATAATAGAAAGTAGAGAGACAGATCTTTCTCAAAGGGGAATGAAAACAAGTGGGATGAGGGAAAAGAGAAAAAGAAAGAAGGGGAAAAACATATATACACACACACACATATACACAGGATGGCTGAGAAAGTTGTACTACTGACTTCTATTGCTTTATTGAAAGGAACAGTTTATGTTTAATTTTAGGTTTGTTTGGGGTTTTTTTTTTTTTTGGTCTTTTTTGAAACAGGGTCTTGCTATACAGTTCAGGCTGGTCTTGAGCTCACTTTGTAGCCCAGGCTGGTCTCGAACTTGCAACGATTTTCCTGCCTCAACCTCCCGAGTGCTGGTATTACAGGCATGCGCCACCACACCCAGCCTAATGTTTAATTGTTTGATCAATCTTACATGCCTACATTTGCTTAACTGAATAATCAATTTGAAGATAACAATATGTAATACAACAACCACTGTTAATTTTCTATCACCTTTTCTGAAATTCTGTATTGCTTCTATTGTTTGGGTATTGTTTTGTTTATATCTGTTTGTCTGTTAATGTGTTTTCATTCTTTTATTTTCAAAATTAAAAGAAAGTCCAAGAAAAGGGGGGCAGATGGGATCAAGAGATGGAGGGATGGGGAGGAAGGGGAAGGAAAGGATGAAAAAGGAATTAAGATGTGCTATGTACAGACAGCAACTCCACACAAGGAACGGAAAGTGTGCTGCAAACCCAGACTAACAAAAATTATAAGAAGAGAGAGGAGTTCAGATTTTTTTTTTTTACTTTCTTGGAAGCTTCTGGAGCATGACTCAGAAATGAAGTCACAAAGAAATTCCTATACTCACATTATTCCACATTCCATGGATATTTCTGCGGTTTGCTCAAAAGAACCGTTCTCTGTGTTTACACCCACCTGCAGCACTTGGAGAGCTCCCGGGTCATTTTTTTTTAAGGTTTAGCATTTAATTCTCCAATTAGTCTCCCCAAATCATCTCTTTTTCTTCCTTCAAATGCTTCTTACTCTCAAACTTCAAACTTATTTGCATTTACATTTTAAACACCTTACTCAGATTCATGTTCGAGTGAACAAGAGCTACCGCCGCACACCAGGCCCTCCAGCCATCTCCTCCTCCCTCCTCCGCTCCAGTGGTCCGTGAGGGCTCTCAGAGCCCTTCTTCAGGAGTTATTTCAGGCATTTAAGAAAATTTCTTGCATCTCGCTGAACTGCTGGTGGCATTAGCGAGTCTCTGAAGCAGCATTAACTTAATCAAGACCAGGAAAGGACAGTCAGGAACTGCTAAAAACTCTACTGCCCGCTGCATGACCCATGGCCATTTCAGACGGCTCCAAAATTGCTGGTTTCACCAGCTCTTGAGTGACCCTGACCCACACCCCATTCCCACAGCCCATCCCTAAAGCATACCGGGTCTTTGTCACTATTATTCCCACCACCCCTTCAACTGTCACATCTAACACTCAGGCCAACGCTCTCCTGTTCGGCACAAGCCCCGCCTCCCCAAGGCCCCTGAGGACTGGAATGGGCCATCATCCCAACCACACGCGCACCTCTCAGCTCTGCGCTCTCCTCTCCTGGCGCAGCCCCACACGTTCCTGGCAGTCCTCACTTGTGCTCCGTCACCTTCTCTCATTTCATCCTTCGCAGCAGCCCTACATTGTCACCTCTCTCGAGAATCCTCATTTCCTCCCTCTTGTTCAGCTGGCAATGTCAACGCTTACTTAGAAAACGAAGCCACCCCCGGCCCTACTCAGCTCGCTGTACCTCTGTTTCTCCCCTCCTCTTTGGGATGTTCTGCCTTCTTCTGTGCATCCCTTTGTCCCTACCCTGTGGCTCCAGGGCCCACTCTCCACAGCCAGCGTCCCCTGGCAATTTCAAAAACTCCTTCTACGTATATGAAGACAGTGAACCCTCTCCCATTTTAAAAAGCGGCATGTGCTGTGTTAAGCATTTGTAGAGAATGTTTAGCACACCACTGAACACCAGCTACAGGGGCCTGCTCAGGCTCCGTCACGGTATTTCATCTCTGCTGACACGCCTGCCTTCCCTGGTCGAGCCTGTGGTGGATGCTGATCATTCATTTCCTACTTCAGCCTCAGCGGCTCCTGGGCCTCCCTGACCAAGTTTCTAACCCACCTCTTCTGCCTGCCTCCCCACGGAGGCTGCCTTCTTCACCCTTGCAATCTACTGCCCCACACCTGGCTCAGTTTCAGACACGTACTCAAGGTGTCTATGGAGACTGCAGCCCGACTCGGAACGTCAACCTCCTGCCCTCAGTCCAATCACTGCTCCGACAAGAATCAGCCACTTAGAATCAGCACCAGGAGTTATAAAGGGGCCCGCCAAACTGATATCACTATACCTCCCAGCTGAACAGAAGCGCTGCCATGGCCTACAGCCTGTTCCACCGGGATGGTAAGAGTCACCTCGGGTCTGTCAAGTTCCTTGGAAAGTGTACTCAGAACACGGGGGCCCAGTGGGGCCCAGCTGCACAGCTGCTCGGGTTTATCCTGATTTCTGCTTTCCTCTTATTTTCTACCAGTCTCCAACTGATTTCCCATTATACTTGGAGGCAAACAGCACCTTGCAATAAGCAGCTCATTTCACTCACTACTTCTGTTTTAAGCAATAGAAAGTACTAGAACCAGGTTCTGCTATTTACACAACTCTCAGTGGTTAGCAGACAGCACTGTGGTAGAGTCTTCTATTTTGTAATACGAGAACTATAGATTTTTATACTCAATCAGAGAAGACGACTGTTCTACGAGATGTGCTAAGTACGATATTTGTGAAACTGTTCCATTGGGAAAAAAAAGTAACAGCAGGTAGTAATATACTGGAAAACCAAACTACCAATCTAGGTCATACTAAAGAAACATTTATATGAATGAAGATGCAGTCCTGATTCTCAGCATTAGCATATCTTTCCAATTTTTTAACATTTTACTAACATATTCAAAGAGAAAAATATTTTGAACTGTTTAAAACTGAAGAGTCCATCTCCAACATTCGTTGTGATCATAAGAGTGTACAATGTTTTGCTTGGCCTATAAAAATAATCATGTATTATGTGAAAGCCTAAGGTTAAAAGAAGTTTGCAAAAAGTAAACAATAGAAATAAGAATATATTGAACTGTGTAATTTCCAAATGGTTGAAGATGATTTTTTGATGCCAAATGGTATGGAAAAGCTGGTGGTTATGAGTCATCAAAATAAAATGAAGCAACTCATTTTGGAGCAAAAGGAAAAATAAAAGTAAAGACACTTCAAAAAGCTAGTTTGTTTTTCACTCTTTTGTTAAAATAAATATTTCAGAATTTAACGCAGAGTAGAGAATGGAGAAACAAAGCTACGAAATGCTTCTCACAGTGGAGTACTACTCTCCCATAAAGATAAATTTGAAGCATTCACAGATAAATGGGTACAATTTGAGAATATATTAAGTGAAATAAGTTGACACACAAGCTTACATATTGCATTGTTTCTCTTATATGAGAGGCTCAAAATATCTATATACAAATAAAGAGCAAATGGGCTGGAGGTTTAACTCAGCAGCAGAGCGCCTGCCTGGCAAGCACGAGGTCGTGAGTTAGATTCCCGGTACCAGAAAACAAAACAAAACAAAACAAACAAAAAAATAGATTACAAATAAAGAGCCAAATAGAAGAGAGAGAAATAGGGAGGAAAAACTTCAAATAAATTAACATATATGCTAATTTGTTTCATGTATACTATTAGTTTAAGTTCACTGAAAAGAAAGTTTTACGCTATTATCCGTTTCTTCTTTGGCAGAGAGAATCTTGTCTCTGAGTAACTACTTATGATAACAACACACAGTGTATTTTTTTTTTTGGTGGTACCGGGAATTGAACTCATGACCTCATGCTTGCAAGACAAGCACTGGGCCACTGAGCTATATCCCCAGCCCTTACACAGTGGATTAACTATTGTTTTCCTCTTACTTTGTTATGAAATTTTATTTTCTCTTTTCATAAAATACAAAAGTGGGGAAAATGCTTATAAAGATGGCTCACGCTATATTAAAACATGAAAATGAATATCAAATGTGATTTTTTTTTTTCAAATGTGGTTTTTTAAAAGATCAAAAACCAAAGTCATCTTTGGAGTGCAGGTAGACAGCTAATTTTAAATAATGAATTCTGACCAACTTACTCGAAAAAAATCAACACGAAAAAAGCTCGACTCCTTTCTGAGAGCAAAGAAAAACTTCAAAGG